GCTAATTATTTTACGGAGTTTTCTGATGGGTCCTTGAAGAATCAAGGAAACACTTCCATAAATTACACGAGATTTCTCCAATTGAACCAGAATGAAATAATAAGAATAGATGAGGTTCAGGAACATATTGGTAAATTAAAAGTTAAATCTGCACCGGGATTGGATGGAATCTCAACTCTTTCATTAAATTGTTACCCATTGAACTTATTCACTATCTCACTAGGTTTTTTTAATAAAATATATTTATATGGTTTAATACCACAAAAATGGAACGAAGTGATATTTACAATGATTTTCAAGCAAGGAAATAGGGAAGACCCAGCAAAGTTATAGACCAATAACTCTACTGTCCGTTTTTCGAAAAACATTTACAGCCATATTAGCAGAAAAGTTTAAAACTTGGATAGAATTAAATAACTACAAAAATCCAACACAGTTCGCTTTCATAAAAAATGGTGGAACCTAAACTACATTATTTGCCTTATTGTCAACAATTCAACTCCAACTATTAAAGAAAAGACATAAGATATTTGCTATTTTTCTGGATTTGAAAAAAGCATTTGATTCCATTGGTATAAAGCTATTGCAGAGTAAATTGAGCAAATATAACGCAAGTAAATATTTGATAAAAATGATAGATATATTATATGGAAACTATGAAATAATTATTAAACAAAATAATAGTTGCTGTGCACCTTTTACAATCAATAGAGGTTTTACTACAAGGCGACCCATTATCTCCATACTTGTTTAACTTTTATTTATTTGTCATTAACAATTGTTTTAGAAATGAAGAAGATGGAATTTACGTTGATGACTTAATTATACATACAATATCATACGCTGATGATATAGTTATATTTGCTCCTACAACCACAGCATTACGAAGAAAATTTCAACAGATAATTATATACTTAGAAAACCTAAAAGTAAACATAAACCCAAAAAAAATCAGAAGTAATGATCTTTAGATATGGTAATAATCCTCCGAAAAAACATGTTTCTATATTCAAAAATAAGAAATAAGGATAGTAAATGAAAGTAAATTTCTGGATATAACATTCACTCCTAATCTGTCTTTCGACAAACATTACAGAGTGTAATAAATAAGCCAAAAAATCTCATTAATAATTTAATAATATTATTCTGTAAAACTAAGACAAGAAATGTAAAAACTCACTTTCAACTTTGTAACTCTATAATGATAAATGCCTTGTGCTAGGCAACCCCAATTTGGAGCCTACAAGTAATATATAGTCATGGAGTACTCAATTATACAAGATACTGAAGATATCCAGAAAAAAAGAAACAAATATTATAAAATAATTTTTAATTTTCCATTAACTAACAATTACATGATAACAAATCTTGCATTCAATGTTAAGAAATTTTTTATACAGCTAAGGCTAAATCAAAATGGTTTGACGATTGGTGACAAATACGTAGAATATGCCCAAACCAAATGTTCAAGGTGCAAAAAAAACATTATCAAAAGTACATTTGTTTTTCGAATGCAGCAACGAAAAAGAACAGGATTCAAATTTCGATAATGAACAGATCGTAAACAATACGAAGGATATAATAATGTACAAGAAATTAGACAAAGCGGACATTAGTGATATATATAATTTGTATAACTAATTGAGAATAAATTCTAAAGAATAAAATAATAACATTAAAAAATGAAGGAATTTAATACGTCAAGAACTAATAATATAAAATGTTATTTATATTTTCTGGTCCAGTTCTTAAATTTGTATATTAAACATCCCCTGTAACAGGCTAACGCCTTATACGTCAATAAACTTGATTTGATTTAATATCTACATAGGTGTTCGGGTATATAAAATTAATTAATACGAATTTCTCAAAAGTTCCGTTTATCTTTAGTACTGCCGGATAAATATAAATTTCCAATTGTATTTTAAACTAAATAACAAGTAGATTTATTCCTACTTTTCTAAAGACTTTCTTTACATATTTTATACAGTTTGATTATTAAATTTTCTGTTTGTACATGTAAAATCTTTGTATTTATCAACGCTACACGATTTTGTAACCCCTTTGCAAAAGCGAAAGCCATAGCAAATAAATGTTGATTGATTGGTTTGATTGATTGATTGATTGAATTTAGTTCTCTTCTGTAACATGCCAGTTAAAAATCACGTCCTGTAGCTGCTCATTCCAAGTAAAATCACATCCTTTAGCTGCTCATTCCAGTTACAAATAATTAATTATTTCCTCATTTATTTTTAAAATGAAGCTCAAAGAAACTCTGGACGATGTATTTGTTACTTACGAAATCACCGTACTGTTGGTATTGCTGCTTAAGTTTCAATCGCTGCTCCTGTTTGCTCTGATCTACAGGTTGTTTTTGCTTTGCTGGAATTTGCTAAAAAAATTTGGCAGTTCGGGAAATATAGTCAGAATTGCATTTTCTTGAACTTTAAAATCCCCTGCCAAATTCCATCGGATCCTTATACCCATCGTACCTCAGGATGTCAGGTATAAAATGTCGTTCACAAAGCCCGCTATGTTCAGTTGGAGTCCATTCATTCCTAGGAATATTTTGTATCCATCCAAAACACTTAAATAACCAGTTCTTATAGGTTTATAATTTCCTTTGCATTTAAGTACGCAACACTTTTAAGTCATTTTAAACCAAACGAAACGCAGTTAGGTCTAAATCCACGTGCTTAGGCTTTTAACGTGTAAAATCGAAACGTATTAAGTTCAAGAAATAAAATTAATATTTAAAAAAAGTAAAGCTTGGAATAATAATAAAGATAAAAATGATAACAGATGGCGCCACCAACGGAAAAGTTAAGCAACGAGTTGCTTAACTTTTCCGTTGGTGGCGCCATCTGTTATCATATTTTATTTAAATTTTTTATATTTTTAACTAATATAAAATGGCATAAAGCTTAATTTTGAAAGTGGGGCTGAGTTTTATAAAAAAATTATAAATGCTAATGACGAGTAAAATCGTCATTAAGTTAGGCCCTACTGGATATACACACGATCCTCATTATCTTCTCACTCAATTGACCTTTAACCCCTCAAATTTAACATCAATAATTCCCGTAATAAGCAAATGTCTCGGCAAAATTTCAGACATTTTCAACAAAAAGTACGGAAGTTATTAAGCAAGAAACAAGGAGAAAAAATCGTGCCCCCCACACACTAACACCCACACATATAGAAATTACTCCCGAATTTTATTTGCATTTTTTGTCGTTTTAAGGTTTCCTGAATCAAAAAATTTTAAATTTAATTGGGATCATTTTTTGAACGCTCGCCATACTTTCCTCTGTTATATGTAACAACCGGAAAAGTAATTAATGCAGATAAATAATTTGAAGTGTTTCAAATTACAGTTGTTTATTATTGGGAAGAAAATGTTAGAGACTATGAAAATGTCTGATAAATAAAAAGATTAAAACGTATTACTCTTAGAATTTTTATTTTCCAGCTGATCCATATAACAGAGAGAAAGTATTGCAATCGGTCAATAAACGACTTCCCCAGGATATGGACTAAGAGAATGTTGAAACTTCGAGAAACGAAAAACATTTGCCGGTAATTTCTTTATGTAATGATATAAGTGTGTGTTGATGGGGCACAATTTTGTTCACCCTCTTGAAAGCTTAACAACTGATTTTTGTCGAAAAAAATCTCTGAAATTTTGTAGTGAAATATGTATATTAGGAAGATTGATGCTATTAAATTTCGTTGGTTAAATGCTGGGGAAATAATGAGTGTCGTGTGACTCCAGTATGGTAGGGCTTAATGATGATTTTACTCGTTATTTGCATTCACAATTTTTTGTAAAACCCATCCATAGCTTCAAAGTAAAGCTTTTTGCCATTTTATAATAGTTAAAAATATAAAAAGTAATATTGCAGATTTTAGCTTTATAGTCATTATAATGCGTTAGTTACTAAATTACTGTTTGTTAAAAAGACCATAGCTAAGAGGTTAGTCTTATGAAGCTGAACCCCATAGTAACTGGAAAAGTTTACAAATATTTGTTTAAAAAATATATTTTTCTAATAAATAATAATAATCACTTGTATTCATTAAGTATATTATGATAAAGGAAATAAAATATTAAGTGATAAAAATATAAATATATTGAAATATTGGTAAAGAAAGAAAAATCGTCCTTTTTTCGCATTTCTTGTGTTTCTTTTGTAAATTTTGAAACTTTTATAATTATCAGAAGCAGGTTTCGATCTTCGAATTTGATGTAAATACAATTTATATGTTTTTCTAGATAAATTTTTAAAATAGATTTGTGGTTGTTTTACTTAAAGTTCTCAATTTTTATTATTTTGTTACGTACGTTTAAATATATTTTTAATTTAAAAGTAATTTAAATATATATTTTGTTCGAAAGTGTTAAAATATATTAAATTAAATTCATTATGAATTGCATTTTACAAGAATTGTATCGGTAAAACAATTTTTTATTAATATAAAATTAATTAATATTAAANAAGGAATTAGGGATAAAAAATCTGTTTTTCGTTTCACTCTATTATGATGTTTTAATGGTTTTACTTTAAATTTAGAATTTTTTTGACCGATCTCTAAACTTAAAATAATTAATCATATTTTTCTTCTTTTAAAAACTGTCAGGGTTTGGATATAATGGAGGGTAATGTCGAAGGTAACACAAAGAAAGTGGAGAGAACTAGAAAGCGATGTCCGTTAGACCACAGCACACATTCCAAACTAAACTATACTGGACCAGAGTACAATTCCCTTGACGAACATAACAGACCCCACACATAGCAGAGGGGAGGGCGCGACGATCACAAAGACAAAGGTCACATACACAACTTTCTAACAAAAACGTTACTTGATAAAATCAAGAAAAAAACCTTCATTAACACTTTACAAAAAGAAATAAATTTTAATTTCATCAGTTTACATTACCATTTCAATTCAACAATTAAAATTTATATATTCATGTAATTATATTTGAATAAACTTCTTTATGTAGACTATTGAAATATGTAATAATTAAAGCATTTATTTATTTTTTTAATGTAAAAACTTAATTTGAGAACCCCGAAATCTAATGTGTATTTACTGTATTGTGTTACATAATTCGTTGACGAACCGTATTTATCGTAAAGATATAAACACAATTAGTATGATAATTATATAGCTATTTCTGACGAATGAAATGCAACATTTGTCTGTCCTTCAGTTCTATGATTCAGATTTTTACTCCTTTTCTTTTCTTTACAAAACATCTTCGATTTCACGTAATGCAGTGCCGATAGAATTACTGGTAAAAATATCAAAGCAGTAATGAAAGATAATAAAATAACCAAAAAGATTATTTTAAAAGTCGTAATAAATATATAAGACAACGGAATGGCTAAAGGCAACACTGCAATTATTGTTGATGCACTACCTTGAAATATTGCGAATCCAATTAAATCGATGCTATGACGAAGACGTTCATTGGGATCCTCAAAGTCGCAATATCTGTAAGAATGAGATAGATGAGCTGAATAATCGACCGAAAAACCGGCGCACATGACTAAGATGATTATAGACACCGGAGCCAATTCAATATCCCATAGAGCCATGTAACCCAAGGTAGAAATTTCTATAGTAATAATAGAAAAAGCTACCGAAAACGTGACGACGACGTCTGGCATGAAAACGAAACATACAAAAATTACAATTATCACAATACTACTCAACAATTGTACAGTAAATTTTACATGCAAGTCATTGCTATCGATGGCATAATTCAAGAAGTGATACGGAAACACTCTGAATGGCATTTTATCAGTCACTTTTCTTATTCTGTGTAAAGTCAGGTAGAATGATTTTTCTTCGTTAATGGAATCAGTCTGACAAAGAAATCTGCTTCCAACGATAGCTGTATAGTCAGAGTTAAAGGCAATATCATTACGAAATCGCTGTGCATAAGATTGGCGTAGAAACATTCGGCGCAGGACTACAATAAAATCTTTTGTGTCGCTCATATTGTATGACTTTACAATAGAAACCATTGAATCGTCTTTGACGAATTTCAAGAAACTTCGGAGCCAAGACTCGGTAAGAAAATCTGCAATTAATCCTTCTTTCTCCATTTCAGAGAAAAGATTCTCTATTTGATTCTGAATTTTCACATCTGCATAATTCATTTCTTGATCGACAACTATTTGGATTCTGTTTTCGTAATGATTAAAATGTTTAAAAATATCATTATGGTATTGTACAAAATATGAATCGTACGCAGAAATATAACTAAGAGATCCTATAGTATCTGTTTTTGTCACCCCCCAAACTCCAACAGTCACGTAACCTGCCATAATGAAGAGAATTGCAATCTTGACGTACCACAATGATAAAATATTACCGAGTTGCATCCAAAATGATGAAGTTGGAGCGGAAGTGTGTTTAGCAGATTTCCAAGACTTTGTTGTGAAGAGTATTCTTTGAATCCAAACACGGTTTTCTAAAAGAAAACTTATTATTAATATTTTCTAGAAACGACGTCATTACAAAAGGATTTTTTTATATGATTGTGAGACCGACTTCGAATAAATCCTAATAAATTATTATACAGTAATATCAAAATTTTTGAATTGGTGGAAATAGAATAAAAAACTAAAATGTGATTTTCTTTAACTTTATATCTCTAGAGGATTTTTTTCTCTTTAAAAATTTATTTGAATCCCTTCCAACCCAGATAATATATGAAAATTGGTTAATCAAATAAAGGCAATTAGTAGATGTTTTGGGGATAAGATTATCGCAATAGTATTTGCTCCCGTAAAAACTTAAAGTGAATTCAACATTGAAAATAATACAATTATTTTAGGTTATAGAAAGAAAATTGAATTGACATTATAGATATTCATTAGAAGTATACTTTGTTTAGAAGTTGTACTTAATTACAAGATTTTATTCGAAGGAGACAGAATTATCAGACATTTGAGCTTTAACATTAAAAATATTTCTACATTCTTGTATGAAATATAGAAATTTCTTTCTTCTATTATCAACTTTAAAACATTGTTTTTTTACTCGAACCCATTCTACAACTTTATAAACTCCTAATTTTTTTTCTCTTTCAAGCGCACGTCTTTATCTCAAAATCTTCTATTAAATGTCTTTATTTCATTAACCAATTTTTATTTTATTATCTAGAGAATAGAAAGATTCGAAATAAATTTTTCAAAATGTTCTTCCTAGACATGTTAAATAAAATCTTTTTTTTATTATTATTATTTTTACGTGCTTTCCACCGAGTCAAAACTTCCACAATTCTAGTACTTGTATGCAGTTTAAAGTGCCCTATCAATTAATCATTATTTAGTCATAATCGCTCTAACAACAATATAAAAAATCCGTATGATATAACATCCTTTTACTGATATATTCATTGTTTTTTCTTTTACCTTTCTCTTCGTTTATTTTCGTGAAGAATAAAGCATGTCTCTTTTGTTTCTCCGCATATCCAAAGAGTGCCATGCATGCACCAACAAACGTTATCTGATATACGTAACAGAAGACAACAGCAGTCGATGCGTATAAGCAAAAATGAGATATTGCTCTAAAAGGGGTAAACAGACCTGAAATGAAAGCTATGAAATTCGTTACAGAAGTGACAGTAATAGAAATAGCGGATTCCGAATAGACATCTGCCAGTCTGTCTGACACGTTCTTCTTTGAATCGGTTTTTTTCCAAGCAGCTAAAAAGACAAAGGCGTCGTCCATGCCTATTCCTGAAAAGAAAAATAATATTAAATAATTTTTAGAATACAGTTTCAAAAATAACTTTGTACTAAATATCATGCAAATTCAACTAAACTAATATAAATTTCGAATTATACAGAAAGCTAAACTTCCGCCTTTTTTTACATACACAAAACGGCTTTTATTAAAAATCTATAGAATAAATTTGTAATCGTACTCTCAATTTATTTAATTTAAAATATATTTTCTCTATTTCAAATTATTATTGTCTTGCCCCTGTACATCGTACTCTTCCTGTTAGCAACAGAGTCATACCGGTCATCTATATAACTCCATTCAGGGAAAAAATTTATGAATTGAATTCACATTACTTCCAGTTTAGATCGATAGGTTCAATACAATTAATCGATCTTGCTGTCTGTGATCTTTCCATATCTGATCTTGACTTCCCATCTATCTAACACCGTTCTCGAGATTAAGGAAAGACATCAATAGACAAACGTGCAGTGGTAATTTATAGGTCAGACCTATAAATTCCCACTGTCCCAGTCAAAACTGCAAGTTAAACGAAATTCATTGCAAGCGGGTTTTCTTTCGTGTCTGAATTATTTTACTTAAAAAAATAAAAATAAAATAAAATAGCGGTTAAAAACAGTATTATAAGTATTATGAAAATAATTTTTCTGTTGACGAAATAGTAAAATACGTTTTCAAAATATGCTTTCAATGATGCTTATTATCAATCTATCGATTTAGTAAGTACGTTCTAAAGGCAAATAAAGTGTAACAGGTCTAATTTTTGATTGGAAAGAAAGTGAGATTCTATAATCGAGTGTGAATAGATTATTTACTTTCATAAATTTCATTTCAATAAAAAAAAATTTTGGAGTAAATTAATGAAGATTTTATCCGTTAGTAAGAGTAAAAACTTCTTCTCTTCTCTTAGAATCAAACATTTTGCCATTTTTTATATTAAATAGTGTAATAATAAAAAACTTTTTTAATAAAATCTCAAAAGAGATAACGCCACAGACACGTTTGTTTTAAATAATTAATAGCGAAAATAAATAAAAATATGCATCTAGTAGATTTAGAATTTAAACTACGAGACTTTCCTGAGCATGTTGCAAACTTTCCTGGTGGATCCGAAAAACTTATGCAAATCTTTGCTGCATTTTCTTTTTAAATTTCTCAGAATATTATCTGTTCTACAAATTTTTATCATTTAAATATTTGTAGAATAGTTATTCATAATAAGGATTCTGTCCTTATTTTAGCGGACTTAGAGATGACAGTATTAATTAAAACACTAATTAAATTTATATATGCTGTCCAACATTTCATTCTTAATTACAATTGTTATGTTATTATATTCTTATTACATTATTATAATATTCATTGAACAAGAAACTATTAGGCCTATTATTAACAGCTTCCCTTTATACTTACCATATAATATTAACGATGTTACATGAATTTGTATTTTCTTTTTCTCTTATATTCTTTAATATACAGATTTATATATAAATATATGTAAATAGTATAATGTTATATACAATATAATTTATTTAGTAGTTATATGCTGTAAAACACAGAACCGGATTTTTAATTTAATTTACCAAATTTATATTATTAAATTAAAAATAAATAACTACACTAGTTAGGCGTAAAGATCAAGATATTGTATAGTTTTAAATAATTTCCTATTCTTACCTATAATTAAAAACGGTATAGATCCAGCAGGAGCCACAAACGGTATATTAAAATACATGACCAATCCAAATGACGAAGCCAAAGACATTCCTCCAGATATTAATGCAGCGACTCCGATCCAAGGTTTGCTTTCTATCCAACTGTTATACAGACAAGTCAGCATTGAAAAGATTACTATTATTATTATTGCAATCGGTATTCGAGGAAATACACGATTTACGACTTTAGACAATTCTTCCTCGATTGTAATCGACGTATATCGATCGACGATGATGTACTGAAAAGTACTGGATTCAATAAGATCCAAAAACAAATATTGCCATTCTTTTGCTCTTCTTCTGTCAAGTTTTGAATTATCGTTTAAATAATAATATAAGCGCAAAGCTTTCGCGCTTTTTACATAATCTTCTCCATTTGTTTCGACTCCTCCTAAAAATAAACTCATTAATTCAAAATCGTATTTACCTTTCTTGCTTAAAGGATATTTGATGGAATAAGTTTTGTTTTCCATCATTTCGATTTCATTTTTCATTAACAAAATGGAATTCTCAAGGCATCTTTTGTTGTTTCTTGCGCATAAATCTTTATACGCGAAATTTTCTTCAGTTTTTATATTTTGAATAATTTTATCCAATTGAATAATCTCTCGAAATACGTCTCTTCGAAACACGGAATCTTTATCTTTAGCTGTAACTAGGACTATCGCTGTATTGGGTTCTCTGTTCATTCTTTCCATGTATGCATCAGAAGATAGATTCATTGAAAATAGTTTTTCTATGGAGTCTTCTTCAGTAACGTGTCTCGTGTTTTTGGGTTCAAACAAATATTTAAGGTTCTTTTCTTCGTGCCACTTCTGAAGACCCGTAGCTAACAGCATGGATACAAACACCGGAATGATGATAAAGTAAGAAGGATTTCTACCAACACGTAATCCTAATTCTTTAAGTCTCTTTGATAAGGTAGCATTCAGATAATTTAATTTCATGTCAATTCTGAAAAATTAAATTATTTAATGAATTGCTTTTATTATTTATATAGTAATGAGTAAGTATTAACATTAATTTCTAAAATTACTGAAAAAACACGTATGATTATTGTGAATAACGATTTCAAATAAAAATGTGAAAGATAAATTACTATTTAAAAATGATATGTGGGGTAATGGGTGAATTGCTTTTAAACTGCTAGGCATTGTTTCAACATGACGATTCATTCCCTGACTTGACAATTTCCTTACGTAATTTGCTTAATACAGTGCTTCCTAGACGATTTATTGGCCATAGGAACCAACAACCTGGTTTCTAGATCGTCCGATATAACCCCACTGAATTTCTGTTAGTGGGACTGTGTGAAAGACATTGTGTCCTGAACATATGTTTGCAATTTCTTTTGCAATGTCCAATGTTACGCAGAAAATGCTAAACAACACTTGGCAATAAATCAGTTATCGATTGGTTATATTGATACTTCAGGAAACTAGAACAGCACGTGTTGAAGTTCAGTGAATGTATACAAAACAACTCCAGCTTTTATATTAATTTTCGTAATAGAAAATACTTTTTGAATTAATTTTTCTTCCATCTTAAATCAAATTTCGATAGATCACTTGTATTTTTTAAATGAAGTTGTCCCAAAAATCTAGGCAAATAAAATATATTGCAATTCACTTTAAAATATTATTAACAAGTTAAACAAAATACAGTATGTACTACGAAAATAAGGATTTTCTTTTTAATTCGGTAATTTTACTAAAAAACAAATATGCATAAACTCCATTTTGGGAACATAGAATCAAGACAACAGGGTTATTCCAAAAACAGAAACATAAAGGCAAAGATATAGGCATTGACGAAGATTAATCAATGATTTTATATCATAAGTTGATGGGTTCGCCTGTCAGTAGCTCATTACTTAAACTAAATTAAAGTAGTCTTCTAAACACTTAAGTTACTGATGCAGCAGAACATTTGAACAAATGTTTACGTTGACCTCATAATTTTTAGTTCAAAATTCTGTTTGGCCAGTACCAATCCTACAAGTTGGCCCCTAGTAGACAATCTGCGGACTAGAATAGAAATTTGCATACTGTATGACGAATTAGCTAATCTACAGCGGAATGTGTCTAAGACCACACCGTTCTCATTTGCACTAAGAGTAGCATTTTCCAGTATATTATATTGCTCAAAGAAAAATGGATATGGATAACGGGATCTATGTAAAACCTCCTGCTAGAGTCACGGTCAAGTGATATACAGTACAGAGATTGTTGTATAAAGATTTGCATTTGCATACCTCGTTGTATAAGTCGGAGGAAGTTTTCCTGGTTGTAGAAATTTTTTTCCAGCGTGAAAATTCAAACTAAATGCTGGCAAATACGGTATACAAAAATACTAATTCTATATGGACTGGTATTAAAAGCAGGGTAATTGTGAGATCCGAAAGGAGGAAAAGGCAATTTTAAAGAAAAATTAGCGAGAAAATAATATTTTAAACATCAACAAAATTTTGAAAAACGGATGTTAAAAAAAACTTTCGATTTTAGAAAGGAAGTTAATTTCCTTTTCTATAGCCGACTCACGAGATGAGTCAAAAATGCCAACCTTTGCACACGTTACTTTGCCGTCAGAGAAGGCCAATATAAAAGGGACATTTTCCCGCCATTCAGGGCAGTCCGTCGAAAGACGTATTGCCACACGAGAGCAGTTTGTCGTAAGAGATATTGCCATACGAATCCTGGAAAGTCATTCAGAGAGAACGCCATTCAAAGAGTCCGTTATACGACGAAGTCCGTCATAAGAAAAGTTATCCATACAAGAAAGTGCCATATAAAATATAAGAAGAAGCATATCCATAAGTAAAGAAGATCCTCATACATTGAAATATTCGAAAGACCTGGAGAAGGTAATATGATAACGGTTAGGTCGATGTGAACTCTCTCTCACGCGATAGGTTTAATATAGGATTATTAAGTTTAGGTTTAATTTAGTTTGTAGTGACTTAAGTATAAGTACGATTTGTTAGTCATTCATTTGTATACTTTTGATACTTTTGATTTATTAAATGTTTTAGTTTATTTTATAAATATGGTCTGGTTAATGTTAGATTTTCACACTTATACTTATTCAGATTATTTGCATTCCTCATACTCGAAACGCCTGTTAATCCGTATGTAATAAAACTGATTAACTGGTGTCAACATCCTGACGTGAATCTAAATCTCAAAATTTGGATCCCTTTTAAACGCTCTTAAGGCCATCCTTCGACTAGAGGCCGGATCTCAAGATACGTAAACTCCGGAGAACAGATCTCATCGATCTGTGCCAATTAAGTGGTACATAAATTCTAAGGATCTGCATCCCCGGCTAACTCACATAATCATATTCTTTAAACATTATTTAGAAAACTGGAGACTGTCTTACAAAAATCAGTTTTAGACCTATATTATTCAAGATTTATATAAATGACCTATTTAGTTACATACAAAATAAAAATATAATTATTTGTATAGATAATATAATCGTAAAAAAATAGTGAAGGTTTCCACAAAGTAAAAAACTCTACATTATCAACTATGGGAAAATATGCTAACAAATTAAAAATATCTATAAATTATACTAATCAAATATCAAACTCAGCTTTTAAATACTTAATGAACTATCGATACATCTTCTGTTGCTGTATAACAGATGTATTCATGGTCCAATAAGATAAATTATACAAAATTAAAGTATACTATACAGGAATAGAATCAAGAAAGCGGAAGAAAAGATGGTAAACATTCAATAAAGGTGGTAATAACAACGACAGTATAAAGGGGTAAAATATATTTAGGGGTTTATATTGTTAGAAATTTAAATTGGCTTAGTTTTGATAAGTTAAAGAATTACAGATAATTACAGATAAGTTTTGATAAGTTTTCACAGAACGCAAGAATTAGGACCCCGTTTCCAGACTAATTAGAGACCTGGTCCCGATTCTATTTCTGAACGTCTCCTGTTCACGTCCAGTCAAACGAACTATTTTCAACGTTTCTGGAACGTTTACAATCGTTCTATAATCGAACCAATATTCGAATTTTATGTTCGAATTAAATTCGAACAAATTCGAACATAACATTCGAAATAGAAAACCACTTTCAACCACTTTCAGCCCCATATCTCCCGTACCCTTATAGCTATCGAAACGCAACCCCCATAGTGCACGAATGGAGACTTGGGGCTACTACCACATACAAACACCAGTCATGTGCGACGTGTAGTTTTGGCGAAAAAGTGAAATATAGGGACACACACGTCCATTTTTATATATAGATGTAGATATAGATATAGATATAGATATAGATATAGATATAGATATAGATGTAGATGTAGATATAGATATAGATAAAAACAAAATTATGATATATATGTAGGCCTAAACATACAAATTCGATAATTATATATTAAAGCTAAACGATTGCCGAATTATATCGGTCTATACCTTATTACTATTATTACTATTAATTGAATGATAAGTAATTAATAATAGTAATAAATAATTCGCTAATCGTTTGGTTTTGTTTTCGAGTCCCTCTTTGGGCCGATTACTTTCTTCCAGAATTTTTAAATTAATTATTATTATATTAATTTAATTGTAATTAATAAATTTAACAGGAGATGATATCTAACACTTATCTCTAGTATTAAATTACTTAGCATTTAATTAATAATTGTATTGATAGCAGTTGCAATATAGTCCGATATAGTCCGATGTAATTTGGATTTTAAATCGTAATTAATTCAGTTGTCTAATGGACAGCCATTTCTGATCAGTTGTAACTAAAGTGTAAATGAAATCCGCTTTAAATATGACGTCAACACACTACACGCGCTCGGAAGTACCAGTCGACCCCCTATAACACTGTTGATTATTCCGTTTTATATGAATTCCATGTTGTACGAGTCACTTAGATTTTACAAATACATGTGCCGGGCTGTGAACGGCTCACGTATTTGTAAAATCTAATTGACTCGTACAACATGGAATTCATATAAAACGGAATAATCAACAGTGTTATAGGGGGGTCGACTAATGCTTCTGTAGAATGTGTTTATCAGAAAATTTTGTCTGCTGAATTGTCTGCTTGTCTGCTATTTTTTTTACTGTAATTTATTCTTCGAAATGCTTGGTTTTCGGCGATAAAAATCAAGAAATTGAAGAAAATGCTAGAAAAATATACTAACAAAAGGTATTGTTCGATTGAAAGACGGTAACATTTATCAGCCGGAGGACATTTCAAAATTATATCTAATTGAATGCTAATCAGCTTATTCAAGGTTACATACAACAAGGTATTGCTTGAAGTAGAAAAGAAAATTATTTAAAAAAATATATTTTCTATTGTTAATATTTATTAATCACAGTATTAAACTAAAGTATTATTTTTAAATATTTTTAAAATATACATTCGGGTGTCTTTCTTGAAGTTTCAATTAATTTAAATCATAATATTTACAGAATTTATAACAAAAACTTGACAATAAAAACAATTTACGGAAAGAAAAATAAACTTAGAAAAATGAAACACGATTTGTATTTTTTCTATAAACATATTTTTGGATTATTTTAATAGTTTTTTTAAAATAGAGGCCTATATTAAATCATCAAAGTGGCATGTCCCTGTACATCATACTTTTCCTTTAGCAATAGAGTCGTGTCGGTTATTTATCTAACTCCTTTCAGGGGAACATTTTTAAATTGAAATAACGTGACTTCTGGTATAAACAGGACGATCACGTACAGTTAATCGGGTCATTCTACCCCTAAAGTTTCTATCTGATCTTCGTCATTGATCTACCTATCTACCGCCGTTCTCGAGAATTAGGAAAGACAGACGGACGGACGGATGGCAGTGGGAAATTTTTGTCTTTAATTTTTTAAATTACATCCCAATTATAGACAATTTTTTTAAATATAAAACTATACAAAAACTACTTAAACGCAATTCTAAATT